ATTTTATCAGGTAAGAGAAAGATAAGTTGGAGGATACATGAAATCTGGAAAGGCCATCTGAGGCTTTGCAGTTTACAGACATTACCTAAAATCATTGTTTGAAGCCATTATTAAGCAACCAACTAGAAATCAGATCAGATCAGGTTGGGACATTGTTTTAATTTCCCAAATACTCAGGTTGCTCTCAGGCAGCCAAAACAAAGAGGAATGGCTCTGAACTTTGTCCTAAATAATATTTCTCTTACTAAACAGACCTGATATTAGGCAGCTTAGAGAACTTGATTGTTATTGGGGAAAAGTAGGAATATTTTATTTTTGTACTTTCACAATATTTTTATGTGCCATATGATTAAACCTGAGACTCACTGGGTCATGTTTTGCTCATTTAATTGCCATAATAGATGCAATGGCCGGTGCTGCCGTAGCTCAATAGGCTAATCCTCCGCCTGCGGCGCCGGCACACCGGGTTCTAGTCCCGGTCAGGGCGCTGGATTCTGTCCTGGTTGCTCCTCTTCCAGTCCAGCTCTCTGCTGTGGCTCGGGAGTGCAGTGGAGGATGGCCCAAGTGCTTGGGCCCTGCACCCGCATGGGAGACCAGGAGAAGCACCTGGCTCCTGGTTTCGGATCAGCGCAATGTACCCGCCTCAGCGTGTCGGCCACAGCGGCCATTAGGGGGTGAACCAACGGCAAAGGAAGACCTTTCTCTCTGTCTCTCTCTCTCACTGTCCACTCTGCCTGTCAAAAAAAAAAAATTTCCATAATAGATGCAAGTCATTTGTGAATAAAATTATGCCAAATGTCCTCAACCATTTATATCCATGCTACATTTACAAGGGTAAGAATATAACTACCTACCCTCCAGACTAAATATATTATAAACCTAAATCCTTCAGAGTTAATGCAGAATACTAATACCAGTAAGGCACAAGTAACAAAACTTGTTATTTTATCACCATTTCCTTCGTCCAACCTATAAATCAACAAGATGTGTTTTGTATTAAATGTGCATTCTTCTTGTTTATTTCCACTAATATGTCTCTTTCTGACAACTGTCACACCCATTCATGCTCTGTGAGTTTTCATGCATCAATGTCTACAAGTACAACCTGATAGGATGGAAGTCTCTGGCTTTGACATGGGTCACAAGAGAGTTCACATATGTAAAAATGTGATTAATGAACATTACAATACTTTACAACAATGTTCCTCAGCCGTACTACAGGCAAAGGTTTTGAAAATCCCTTTACCTTAAGCACACACACACGCACACACTTCAGGATCTAGCTGTTGTTGGTTTCAGGAATATTTTCATGAATGATAAAAATAATAAAAAAGGGTACACTTTTTCATTTCATTATTAAATATCTCTTTGCTATTACCAATAAATAAATAAATATGAATAAATAAATATTATTGTTATTACCAATAAATAAATAAATAAATCTCTCTCTCTTTTTTTTTTTTTTTTGACAGGCAGAGTTAGACAGTGAGAGAAAGAGAGACAGAGAGAAAGGTCTTCCTTCTGTTGGTTCAACCCCCAAATGGCCGCTACAGTCAAATCACGCTGCACCGATCCAAAGCCAGGAGCCAGGTGCTTTCTCCTGGTCTCCGATGTGGGTGTAGGGTCCAAGGACTTGGACCATCCTCCGCTGCCTTCCCAGGCCACAGCAAAGAGCTGGACTGGAAGAGGAGCAACCAGGACAGAATCCGGCGCCCTGACTGGGACTAGAACCCGAGGTGCTGGTGCCACAGGCGGAGGATTAGCCAAGTGAGCCGCGGTACCGGCCTATCTCTTTATTATTATCAATAAATATTTGTATTTCATTATTTGTTAGATATCTCTTGAAAATACAATGTTAAAGGTTGTAGGGACATTATGTTAAAAAATTAGTAATGTCATCCAAATACAACTGCCTACACTGATCTGTACAAAGTGTTCCTGTTGGTTGTGCTATCTTCTATAAATATAACCCTTTAATAATGCTAAAATATATTTCTCACTAATAGATCCTATATCTAATAAGTAAGGAACATTCAGAAAAATGAGAAGTAAAGCTCTTCAAATAAGTATACTGTTTGATTAAATTTTCAACTTTCCAGAAAATTTTCTGCCAGAAAATTACAAATTCATTTACTTTCAAGTACATATAATATTCAAAAATAAGAGTACTAAAGATGACTAACCGAGCACCAAAAAGGAAACCTGTTGAAGTGAAATGGACACTATGAGAAACAATGACTTGATCAGCTCTTGACCTGACTGTCGAGGAACAACTTAATACTATATCCCTTTTAGTATTTTTTTTGGTTCTACTTAATACTATTGGTTGAAGTCTTTAATTAACATACAATTATTCTTAGGTGTTTAAAGTTAACTGAAAAGTGATCCCTGTTAAATATAAGAGTGGGAATAAGAGAGGGAGGAGATGTAGAGTTTGGCACATGCTCAATCGGACTTGTCCCAAAAAGTAGAGTTAGAAACATGTCAGGGGATTCCAATTCAATCCCATCAAGGTGGCATGTACCAATGCCATCTCATTAGTCAAAGTGATCAGTTTCAGTTCATAATTGATCATAATGAAATGATTAAGAGTCAAAGGGATCACATAAACAAGATTAGTGTCTGCTAATACTAACTGATAGAATCAAAAAGGGAGAGAATGGTCCAACATGGGAAGTGGGATACACAGCAGACTCATAGAATGGCAGATGTCCTAGACAACACTCTGGCCTCAGAATCAGCCCTTTAGGCATTTGGATGTGGCTAAAAAGCCCATGAGAGTATTTAAGGCATGGAAAGCAAAGACACTCTGGCAAAAAGAAAAAAAAAAAAAGACCTAAATGAAAGATCTCTGTGAATGTGATCCCAACGGAAAGAACAGGCCATCAAAGAAGGAGGTACCTTTCTCTGAAGGGAGGAGAGAACTTCCACTTTGACTATGGCCTTTTATAAATAAGATCAGAGTTGGAGTACTCAAGAGGCTTCCATAGCCTTGGCAGCTCATGACAAGAGCCTTGGGTGATTACTGACGTCATAAATAAAAGTGTCTATTTTTAAATCAACAACAGGAGTCACTGTGCACTTACTCCCCATGTAGGATCTCTGTCCTTAATGTGTTGTACTATGTGAATTAACGGTATAACTAGTACTCAAACAGTGCTTTACACTTTGTGTTTCTGTGTGGTTGCAAACTGTTGAAATCTATACTTAGTATATACTAAACTGATCTTCTGTATATAAATATAATTGAAAATGAATCTTGATGAAGAATGAGATGGGATAGGGAGTGGGAGATGGGATGGTTGTGGGTGGGAGGGAAGTTTTGCGGGGAAAAGCCACCGTAATCCAAAAGTTGTACTTCGGAAATTTATAGTTGTTAAATAAAAGTTAAAAAAAAGATTACTTCAAAAAATCTATAGAAAATAGAATTAAAAATAAGTTTATTTTGTTGTATTTTTTTTTTTTTTTGACAGGCAGAGTGGACACTGAGAGAGAGAGACAGAGAGAAAGGTTTTCCTTTTCCGTTGGTTCACCCTCCAATGGCCGCCACGGCTGGCGCGCTGCAGCCGGTGCACCGCGCTGATCCGAATCCAGGAACCAGGTGCTTCCTCCTGGTCTCCCATGCGGTGCAGGGCCCAAGCACCTGGGCCATGCTCCACTGCACTCCCGGGCCACAGCAGAGAGCTGGCCTGGAAGAGGGGCAGCTGGGACAGAATCCGGTGCCCTGATCGGGACTAGAACTCGGTGTGCCGGTGCCGTAGGCGGAGGATTAGCCTATTGAGCCGTGGCTCCAGCCTGTAATTTTCTAAATTTCATTTTCCATGATTTTTAATAATTTCATTTATTCATCCAATGACTTTTATGTCAAGTATGAGAGGACTTCCAAAAGTTCATAGAAATGTAATTAAAAGATAAGATTATTGTGCTGTAAAAGCATTTAAATGCATTCATAGTTTATTCACAGTACATATTTCTATGAAATTACTAAAGACTGCACAAACGCAAGGTTGGTCAAAGCTGAAGCCAGGAACCAGGAGCCTCTTCCAGATCTCCCATGGGTGTAGCAGGGGGACAGCCTCTTGGGACATCTTCTGCTGCTGCTTTCCAAGACCATTAGTAGCCGAGTTGCTTGGAAGTGAAGCAGCAGAGCCTAGAACCAGTGCCCATATGGGATGTCTGTGTCACTAGTGACAGCTTAACCCACTGTGCCACAGTGCTGGCCCCCTGTTCCTCCATTTAATGTTAAGTTTGGCAGTAGAATTTTAGGATATAAGTGGGACAAAGGAGAATGGAATTCTATTGTTTACTGTGCCTGAGATGTGCTGAGATGGCCCAGGGAAAGGCAACGGCATCAAGACTCTGGGCATGTAAAGAATGCCCGTGAATAGAATACTCATATGGGAGAGGAGAGAGTTGTATAAAGGCCAAATCAAGAAATGTGAGTCGCCAAAGATTTGTGTATATCTGGACCTGATTCAAAATAAAGGCGTACTCCTTCAACAACCAATGAAGACACTTGTGGCATCTAAGAGAAGAAAAAGTATGGCCCATGTAAGAATAGGTCTGACGATAGCACTTCCCCCAGTTATCAAAATGGTAAAGAGGAATACTTGTGCATAGAAATGGTTAGAGACTTATCTAGCATGAGGTTATGTTGACAGCTACTCACTGTAGTATAAAATATTCTTTGCACTTAAAGAACAGAAAGTAAGGAAGCAGATGCGGGATCACCCACAGCATAGCAATCAGTAGCATCAAGCCAAAAAAGCAGGCCCAGAAACTGACGCAGACAGTCTGAAGCAACGCCTCAGTCACAGCTGCTGGCACTTGAAAGCAGGTCTTTCCAATCCAGCAGTGAAGTGCCCTTGTTAGTTAAGTTAGGTCACTCCAGGTTTTCAGAAGTTCTAAGAAAGGTTATATTTTTATCTTTGCCCACCAAAAATCTCACCCAGAACTATGACTATTCCCTTCTCAATACCTAGTAGAATTCTGTGGCTTACTTTGGGTAATTTCTAGTTTGAATGAACGGCAGAATCTCAGAGTCTTGACTAGATGGAGGCAGCAGTAAATCTCGGAATCGTTCTGTTGAAAGAAAAATAATCACAATGTATGAAAAAATCAATCATGAAAATCACTTCAAAAACCAAATATTTCCTACTTTATTTTTAGCCATTTTGACTGTACATATTTTTTTAAATGTATCCACCATTTCATACACTTAAGTATATAACTGTTTCTCCCAAATGATTACATTGATACAATGTGACTGAAATAGTACAGTCCCTGCAAACACAAAAGTTGCAAGTAGAAACTGATAAAATCTTATAAATAAAAAAGAGAAAAGGTATATAACCAGAACCCCATCAAAGATGCACAATATTATTGGTACCCAGGTAATGTGAATAAAAACCACACATCATTGGATAACATTCACATTACATGACATTCATCTGACAGAAATCAGACTCACAGACCAAGTGTGAGAAAGGATATACATCAAATAAGCTCTTATACATTGCTCTAAGAGTAAACATTGGCACAAAAGCTTTGGAAAATAATTTGTCATTAAGAGTTTCACCTTTGTACAGACTATTTCTAGATGTACATTCCCAGATGTACACCCTGCAGAAACTCTCACATGTGTCTTAGGCAGTAAATAAGAGGACAGCCATTGCAGCACTATTGGTAATAACAGAGATGGAAGCAACTCAAGTGTTCATTAACATGAAAATGGACAATCTGTGCTGCATTCACAAAATAGAATGTTAATTGAAGTGAAATGGCATGATTTGTTATAAATAAAAACACTATGAACCATATTAATTAAAGTTGAGTATAAAAAAATCCCAGAGAGTAACACATAGCAGTTATCATTTTATTGAGTGAAATAACTAAGCAATGCATTGGTTAGGTATGGTATACGTGAAACAAAGTTAACCAATTAAAAATGGATGATATACACAGTTCAAGATAATGGTTACCTTATAGAAGGGACAATGGGATAGAATAAGGTAGAGAAAAAAGCTAATGAAAGTAGTTATTAATTAATGTTTCTTATAAATTAATTATAGATCAAAAACCACACAATTATTCTTAGGTGTTTAAAGTTAACTGAAAAGTGATCTCTGTTAAATATAAGAGTGGGAATAAGAGAGGGAGGAGATGTCAATTTGGACATGTTCAAGCTGACTTGCCCCAAGTGGTGGAGTTAGAAATGTGCCAGGGGATTCCAATACAATCCCATCAAGGTTGCATGTACCAATGCCACCTCACTAGTACAAGTGATCAATTTCAGGTCACAATAGACCATAATGATAGGTCTAAGAGTCAAAGGGATCACATAAACAAGACTAGTGTCTGCTAATACTAACTGATAGAATCAAAAAGGGAGAGAATGATCCAACATGGAAAGTGGGATACACAGCAGACTCATAGAATGGCAGATGTCCCAAACAGCACTCTGGCCTTGGAATCAGCCCTTAAGGCATTCAGATCTGGCTGAAGAGCCCATGAGAGTATTTTAGGCATGGAAAGCCAAGATAAGTGTGATTCTGACCCTAAATGCTATATGCCTACAAAATTCCCACACCAAACCTAAATGAAAGATCTCCGTGAGTGAGATCCCAGTGGAAAGAACAGGTCTTCAAAGAAGGAGGTACCTTTCTCTGAAGGGAGGAGAGAACTTCCACTTTGAAAAAAAAATCATAAATGAATGAATGGATGAATGAAGGCCTAGTAGAGAACAGTAATAGCAGTAAATTGTGAGCCAAAAATTGGATTAATAAAACTCAGCACATATGTACTTTGTAATGAAGGACAGAGGGAGAAGGAAAACAGAGAGGGAGAAAGGAAAAGAGGGAACAATGGAAGGACAAAAAATGTTGTGGATGGTTTCATGCTATTTCAGAAATATTTATATTGCACACCTAACTACCATGCAGAGGGTAATCCATCACTTGAATACTGTTTCCATACTTTAAAATCTAGATTTCCACTACCTTTTGATTCATCCCTATAGCAGAACTTCTTTGGTTCCTTCATTAGCTTTTTTCTCTCCTCCTATCACATTTGAAATAGCTGGTCCTACTGTGTACTTCAAGTAAACCCTGAGGTTATGATTTTGGAGAATTTATCAAACTCTTTTGATAGCTATGTATACTTATCTCTAAAGCCTTCTCTCCTAGTAGTTGGATATTTTGCCACCAAAATACAAAACATTATATAATATATATTAAGACACTAGACAAATATTTGTTGAAGGAATATTCCTAAGTTCCATTTTTACTGGATAGAAAAAACTACCTGTCAAAGTTAATCATAATGACTCTTTGTAGAGACCAATTGGTCATAAATCAACCATGAAAAGCAAGGAGACCTCTATTTTAGCCTTGACAGAGTCACAGAATCAGGCTGAGATTGAGTGCAAAGCTAAAACTCCCAAGCTGCAGCACATTTATCACTTACTGAATGTGTGCGATTTCCACAAAACACTGAAAATATAAACTTGATGGCTACTGTCATTTCCTGGATACTGAATACATGTTTTTTTTAAACTTTATTTATTTAAGAGACAGAAACAGACACCTAGGCAGACATACAGAAAGTTTCTACCCACTAGTTCACTCCTCAATGCCCACAATGGCTGTGGTGAGCTGAAACTGGAGCCAGGAGCCAGAAAATTAATTCAAATCTTCTCTATGGGTGGCCAGAACCCAATGATTTGAGCCATCATTGCCTCCTCCAGGGTGTCCAATACCAGAGAAGCTGGACTGAAGAGCCAGAGAGGGAATCAAACCCAGGCAGACTGATGTCAGATCCAGGTACCTTAACCACCAGGCTGAATACCTACTCCTATAGGAAGGAAATAATAAGCTGCAAAAATATGGGGCCAGGATTGTGGCACAGCAAGGTAAGCCACAGCCTACAACACCAGCATCATATATGGGTGTTGGTTGGAGTCCAGGCTGTTCCACTTCCCATTCAGTTCCCTGATAATAAGACTGGGAAAACGGAGGAAGAGGCTCCAAGTGCTTGGGCTCCTGCACCCATGTGGGAGACCTGGAGGGAGTTTAAAGCTCCTGGGTTCTGGCTTGCCCAGCCCCTGCTGCAGTAGCCATTTGGGGAGTGAGCTAGTGGATAGAAGATCTCTTTCTCTTGATGTTTTTCCCTCTCTCTGTTAACTCTCCCTTTCAAATAAATATATCTTTGAAAGAAAGCAGTCCTAAAAATAAATGGATTACTCTGAAATCCAGAGATCCTAAAAAGCACCATGTATTTTTCTCCTTTAGTTATATTACTCTTTATTTTAAGTTCATATTTTAAATTACATTATTGACTGATATACTATTTTTTTAAATTTATTTGACAGATAGAGTTAGCGAGAGAGAGAGACAGAGAGAAAGATCTTCCTTCCATTGGTTCACCCCCCAAATGGCTGCTACCGCTGGAGCTAAACCAATCCAAAGGCAGGAGCCAGGTGCTTCCTCCTGGTCTCCCATGTGGTGCAGGGGCCCAAGCACTTGGGCCATTCTCCACTGCCTTCCTGGGCCACAGCATAGAGCTGGACTGGAAGTGGAGCAACTGGGACTAGAACCCGGTGCCCATATGGGATGTTGGCGCTGCAGGCGGAGGATTAACCAAGTGAGCCCTGATGTACTATTTTCAATCTATAATTTTTTCAAGAAAATTACTACTGATTTTTTATAGTATGTGACCCTTACTTTTCAGTCTATATACCAATTTATGTAGATCCATAAAAAAGTGTCTTGCAGTGTTTATCATTTTCTATTTTTTTCCTTCCACTTAGCCTTTGCCTAAGACAGGTCATAAAAAAAGAAGCCAAAATCCAAGAACTAAAAATGAAGCCCAAACTAAAAAACCCAAAAACCAAGAACAAAAGCCAGGTCAAGAAAAATGAAGCCAAAATCCAAGAACTAGTTTATATATCAGGTATAGCAATTTTTCTGTTAAAGAACTATATTGAACTTGATATTCTTGGAAGTTAAAAGTACAAATTAAAGTATACTAAATGACTCCCAAACTTGGTTTTAAAACAAACTCATGGCCGGCGCCGTGGCTCACTAGGCTAATCCTTCGCCTTGCGGAGCCGGCACACCGGGTTCTAGTCCCGGTCAGGGCGCTGGATTCTGTCCCGGTTGCCCCTCTTCCAGGCCAGCTCTCTGCTGTGGCCAGGGAGTGCAGTGGAGGATGGCCCAAGTGCTTGGGCCCTGCACCCGAATGGGAGACCAGGATAAGTACCTGGCTCCTGCCATCGGATCAGCGCGGTGAGCCGGCTGCAGTGCGCGGGCTGCAGCGTGCCAGCCATGGCAGCCATTGGAGGGTGAACCAACGGAAAAGGAAGACCTTTCTCTCTGTCTCTCTCTCTGACTGTCCACTCTGCCTGTCAAAAAAAAAAAAAAAAAAAAAAAAAAAAAAACCTCATAATTCTTAATTCACATAAACCTTGAATTTAAACTATTATTTTTCTCCATAATAGGTTTATTTATTTTTGTTATTTCTGAAATAATACTGATTGTAAATCTGTAATACAACCTTTGATGATACAGAATATTGGCAGGATTAAAACACACACACAGACACACAAATATAATAGCAAAAGCAGCATAAAATGATCACATATGAGGCAACTCAAATTATGAAGAAATCTATAATTGACAGACCTGTAAATGAAATACCCTTAATCTTAATATCGTAAATGAAAAGGGAACAGAAATAAAAGTCCCTGAAACAGATACCACGACAGTCCTCCCCTGCCAGAAGTAAACAGAAAATACGCAAAGTAACTTGAAACTATGTCCTTTTTAAAACTTATATTTTTTAGTCATCATAAATACTTCAATATGAACAACTAATACTATCCCATTAGGGCATACTAACTTTTTTTATGAAAATAAAGATAAGTTATAAAAAAGTTCTCAGAAAAGTTTAATTAAATGAAAATGTATTTATAATTCTTAGGGTAGTTGCTCATAGTCTCCCAAATTTTTGCCTACCAATTATTTCATTAACATCCCATTTTTTACCTGATTCTGGGAAAAATGTGAATAATATGATGTTTCCTT